TATGAACAGTTTTCAAAGGAAGAAATCTAAGATATCAACAGTCATATGAAAAAAGGCTCTGAATCACAAATAATTAGAGAAATGCAAATTAAAGCAACTCTGAGGTTCTACCCCACACCCATGAGACTGGCAAAGAGGACAAAAAAGGAAAATGACAACTACTGGAGAGGCTGTGGGAAAACAAGCATATTAATGCACTATGGGTTGAGCTGTGAATTGCTCTTGTCTTTCTGGAAAGCCATTTGGAACTATGCCCAAAAAGGCATTATAACTGCACACATCCTTTTACCCAGCAATAAACTTCTAGGTCTATGTCCCAAAGAGATTAAAGAAAGAGGGAAAGGATCCATATTTATCAAAATATCTATAGCAGTTCTTTTTTGTAGTGGCAAAGAACTAAAAACAGACTGTCCATCAACTGGAGAATGCTGATGAAGAAATGATGTATATGAATGTAAAAAAATATTATTGGGCCATCATAAATGAGAAACCTAGGAAGATTTAGATGGATTGATGCAGAGTAAAATGAGCAGAACCAAGAGAAAATACAACAACAACATTGTTAAGACAAACAACTCTGGAAGATTAAGAACTTGATCAGAGAAACCAACTATATTACTATAGGACCAATGATGAAGCAAGCATGTCACCACTTCTGACAAAGAGGTCATAGACTCAAGATGTGGTATTTGATATACATTTTTGGCCATGGCCAATGTGGGAATTTGTTTTGCTTGACCATTTGTTACAAGAATTTTATTTTACTCCTTTTTTTTCCAAAGAGGGGAGAGGAGTTAAGATGGAATACAATAAATGCTTATTAATTTAAAAAATAAAAGTTTAAAAGTTAAAAATGGGAAATAAAAATATAATTACTAACATATTCTAAATTGCTTTCTATCCCAACTTTCTGTATGTGACAATCCCTATAATACTTCTGATCCATCTGCTTTTTCTAGTCTTATTTCCTGGTCCCAGAACATTTCTGGAGAAAGTCAGACTCTGATGCTGTATAAACTCAACTGTGCCCTGAACGCTGTCAGAGTTCCTTGACAGAAAGATGGATAATTATTTCACAAATTCTCTTCAAATATTCTCCATTCTTCTCAAGTCCCTGAACTCACCATTCTTCTTTACTCCCTCATTTCTTTACATAAGAGACTGAGGCATGAACTTAAGATTACAGGCTCAAAATTTTAGAGTGGGAAAGAAGCTTAGAGGTTATCTAACCCAATTCTACTTCTTTATGGATGAGGGAACTCAGGTGAAACAATTGCTGAAGGTCACACAGGTTGGCTGTTAAGTGTAAGTTCGTGGTAAGCTGGCATCTGGACCCTGGTCCTTTGACTCCAAATCCTACTTTCTTTTCACTTCTTCATCTTCTCTCATCTCTCACCTCTAAATTCCCATCTCTTCATTTGTTCTTCACCCCCACCCCTCACAAAGGAGAAGTTTCCCTCCTCATGGCCAAGGCTCTTAGCTTTCCTCAGTAAAAGCTTCATGGAGAAGGTGGTATGTAGGCTGAACTTTGAAGTAAAGAATTTCAACAGAAAGAGATGTGGGTCAGTCAGTCAACTAACATTTATTAAACACTATGCCTTAAGCGCTGTGTTAAGCACTGAGGATACAATGAAAGCTAAAAAAAAACAAAAAAACACTAGTCCCTGGCCTTAGCAGCTCATATTCTAATGGGGAAGATGACGTTCAAACAATTACGTATGTACAAGATACATAAGGGATGGATGTAAGGTTATTTCAAAGGGAAAGTACTAACGGGGGTAGGGGTAGGGTTTGGGGCTGGGAAAAACCTCCTGTAGATGATGGGATTTGAGCTGGGTCTTGAAGGAAGCCAGGGAAACTAAGAGACAGAACTAGGGAGAGAGAACATTCCAAAGGTAAAGAGCTGGGTCAATGGAACGTCATGTGCAAGGAATAAACAACATACTGGTGGAATCCTAGCATGTGTGAAGGGGAGTAAAGTATAAGAAGATTGGAAAGGCAGGAAGGGGCTAGGTTATGAAGGTTTTTACGTGACAAAGAGAGGACTTTGTATTTGATCCTGAAGATAATAAAAGATCTAATGGGAGAGAGAGAGAGAGAGAGAGAGAGAGAGAGAGAGAGAGAGAGAGAGAATAAGAGTACAGGGGGTGACACAGTCAAACCTATGCTTTAGGGAAATACATGACTTTGGTAATTGAGTATAAGATGGGTTGGAATGGGGAGAAAGCTGATGCAAAGAGACCACCTAGAAGGTTGCTGTAATAGTCCAGATGAGAGGTGATAAGGACCTTAAGTAGGGCAGTGATTATCTAAATTGAGAGAAGGTGACATATACAAGAGATGTTGTGAAGGTAAAAATGATTAAGATTTGGCAAAGATTGGATGTTAAGCTACAAAGATGATAACCTACCTGAAAATAATCAAGAGTTGATTGCAATAAATTAAACTCAAAAAACATTTGTTAAACAAGGCAAAGTGAATACAAAGACAAAAATGAGACCATTCCTACCTCCCTGTGCCCCACTCCATTTCAAGGAGTCTATATTCTACTGAGGTATACAATGGGCACAGATATAAGCAAATACCCCACACCTAAAAGGGAAGAAAGCACTAACAAATGAGGGGCCAGTTGGGCTGTCTTGGTTTCTATTTTTTTTTTGTTCTGAACAAAAATACCAAGAGGTCACATTTATGTAGAACTTTAAATCTGGTAGAGAGCTGTATATACATTATCTCATTTGATCCCCAAAAGAACTCTGTGAGGTAGGTGCTAATATTTCTATGTTACTATTGAGTAAAGAAAGACTCAGATAGGGTAACAGGGTCACACAGCCAGTGTATGAGGCCAATATAAGTGCTGATGGTTCCTGAATGATTTCATTACTACTGTCTTAAAAAAAGCCAAAGACACACACCTGCCCTTACAGCATAAACAAATGCTGACTGTGGAGCAGGTGCTGACTGAAAAAAAAGTGACATCGGCAATATATTTTGTGCCTAAAGAGATGGAAAAAGCTGTGTCACAAGAGAAAACTGTCCTCCTTAAAGGGGGTACCACAGGCACAAAGTTACAGACTAGAAATTTCTAGTAAGGAAAACCCGAGACAAAGCCATTGCACATGTGTATTTACAAGCATCTAGCTGAGAACTGAAAGCCCCATGCTGAAAAATTCAATTTGTAACTCAAGAGGACGCAGTCACACTTGGAAAAGGGCAAAATGCTATTTATTCAGCAAGACAAAGCAAAGAAAGGACTCCTGAAGTTTCAGCTACTCAACCCTTCTGCATTATCAATCCTAGGTGAAAAAGGGCCATGTACAATTATTCAATCACTAAGTATTTCTTAACCCCTTACTATGTATCTGGCACTGTGCTGGGGATATAAAGATAAAGCAAAAATGGCCTCTGCCCTCCATGAGCTTACAATCTAACAGGGAAGACAACATGCACATAAAATATATATACCGAATAGACGGAAGGTTGCCTCAGAGGGGAAAGTACTAACAAATCATGAACATTTAAAATACTACCAAGCCATGTGCATGCTGTTAAAATACTAGTCTTTGAAAATTCTCATCATTGGAAGTATTAGCCACTGAGATTTAATTATTACACTAAAGAATAACTCCTTATGCAGCCAGATCAAGTATTCTGACAACTGCATTTCTGATCATTCAAAGTACTTTCAATTCCTTCAAAATCACCCAGACCACTTAGTATCTGAAATGGTAGCATTTCAAGTCACAAAATGTACTCAGCTCAGGGACAGCTTGTAAAGAGTGAGCTTATTAAGTTCATCAGAGTAGCGCAGAAAGTAATAGATTTCAGACCTCAAGATTTCTTGAATATTCTTCCATATCTCTCAGTTGCAGTTAAAATTAAACATAAAATACATAATAGGGAAAAGTCCCTTTAAAATAAATGGGCAGATTTTGTGATATTAAAATTTACTTTGATGAATACTCATTAAAGCATGAAATACAACAAATATACAACTTAGAAACCAAAGCAAAATTGAATATGTACAATTAAAATAGCCTATTGGCAGAACTTTTGGATATCATGTTAACTCTGTACTTCACAGAAGTAGAATTTGAGAGCTGTACAACCTTTCCTGTTTACAGAAACAATATTACAGCCTATTTGGTATTTATTCCCCTCTTCTCTAGTGAGGCAGCTAGGTGGTACAATGGATAGAGCACTGGGCTTGGAATTAGGCAGATTCATCCTCATGAGTTCAAATCTGGCCTCAAACACTTACCAGTTGTGGGACCTGGGCAAGTTACTTTAACCTGGTTTGCCTCAGTTCCTCATCTGTAAAATGAGCTGGAGAAGGAAATGGTAAACCACTCTAGTATCTTTGCCAAGAAAATCCCAAATGGGGTCATAAAGAATAGGATATGATTGAAACAACTCAACAACTCTTTTCCAAACTCATAGAGGGCAGGGACTGTTTTGTTTTTCTATCACCAGGACCTAGCCCAGTACCTGAATAGTAGGCATCTAACAAATGTTCGCTGAATGAAATTGATAATTATATTTATTTTTCCCATTATCTCAACACTCACATAATAGTTTGTGATATGAATATGAAGTACTGACAAACTTATCTTCAGAATGAGAAACAGATCTAAGATACTTTGTTTTGTTTTGCAGGAGATCTAAAAGTGACTTTCTTCAACAAGACTACATGCAGAGAATATACGAGTCATCATCCTTCATCCTGACCTGAATAAAAAGTTAAAAGAGGGTGAATATAAAAACACACAATAATCAACACTGAAGCATTCTCTTAACAAGATCAAGCAAGGTCTTATTCAGAGGCAAACAGGATACTGGAATAATTTTGCAAGCTTCCAGGCAAACTATAAATAGCTATAGCAGTTTCAAGAAATCAAGAAATCCTGTTTCAATATGTGAATTATTATTTGAACGTAGTGCAGATTTTTATCGCAATGGTATCACCCCCATTCCCTGTGATAGGAGAATCTTATTTTTACCAAGTTTTCTTGGTTCCTGGTTGCTATTTTCTGTTCATCTTCTGCCCCATTTTTCATGTATTTGACCTCTTCCACAGGTTTGATCCTATACTCATCTGGGGAAGAAAAAAAGGAAAACACATTTTAGACAGTTAAACAAGAGAAGAAAAAAAATGCCACCCTGAAAAGTGTAATGATGTTAGTCCTTTTCTTTCCTTCCTTTGCACAAAGTGCATTGAAATCAATCTGAGTGTAAGCCTGTGAGTGCTGGATCTCTTTCTGGGAGACTTCCTCTCCTATTTACTGGAAAACGCTCAGTACCTTGAAAACATTTATGAAAGTTTCATTGTCTGGCACTTTCCCAGATACAGCAAGAGGTGGCAGAAGTAACAGCAGTTTTTTTTTCTTTTTACAAAGGCTATTAAGTCCACAACTCACAGGAGCACAGCATCTAATGGGAAATGGGGGAATGAAAAGAAACCGCTTTATATGTGGAGGGGGTCAAAATATGAGCACGATCCTAGAGCGGCAATCTTCCATTCTGTATTCAGACCACACTGTTCCTCCTCTTTTTAAAAACGCATGTAATGCCAAGGGGATATTGATTGCTGAAGGTCTAATCCAAACAGATTTGATCATCTTGCAATCTGAACTCGACATCTTTGTCACACAGCACTTAGCCCAACTGAACTCAAAGTGCTTGAAAGATTATATTAAAGTACACAGTTTATCTTAACCTCCAGGTGAACTGTGTGAGTATACACATGTGGATGTGTGATAGGTACCATATAATCCCACTTAAGAGATGTAAAACTAACACCCAGAAGCAAAGACAATTTGTCTAAGATCAGCGAGAGTGGCAGTCCCTACAAAGGAACCAAGGTCTCTCCTCTTTCAATTCAATGCTATCATAATATTCTATTATTGATGCTGCAGTCACTAAACCACACTACTTACTCATGAGAACAAAGACAATATCTCACACACACACACACACACACACACACACACACACACACACACACACATGGTGGAAAAGCCCATTGAGCCCAATTTCTCTCCAGTCAAAAGCATCTACTCCAAGGCAGTCTACTCTTATAACTTCTAGCTATGCCTTCACTCCTTGTTCATTTTAATTCCCTTCCTGTCTGGTCTTCCAGTTTTACAGAGACCAGAAGATGGCAAAAACCGAGAGGCTTTTGGAGAGCTAATCCTTTATCTAACTGACTAAACCATTAGCCTAACTAACTAGAACATGTTAAAAGCTGGTGAGTGGAAAAGACAATAAGGACAGAGTGGTGGTGATAATGACTACGCTGCCATTGAAATACAGGTATCTTCCACTGGCGGACAATATTCAAAGGGAGATCTTACTTCGTAATTGAAAAAGTCACCAATCATTACATTTTGAGTCATCTGCACTTAAGATTTGTTTGTGACATTTTAAAATGTTTTCTTGATACTTCACTTTTATATCAATCATGTCTATGTATTTTGCTCTCCCCCACCCCGCCCATGCCACCCATTTCTTTAGCCTTGCCTTGTAAAAACCAACCAATCAACACAGTGACCATCGTGATAATATGTAGCATTTTCCAGTTGAAGACCTCCTCTTCTCTTCTGAAAGGAAAGAGGTGAATTTCCTCATGTCTCCTATGGCGCCAAGGTTATGTGACCTACTTCTAACGCTGCCCCACTGTCCTCAAGTCGGAGTCTCTTCTTTCCCTTCTACCTCATCCGAATGGGTCTTCTTTTTTAACCAAGAGATGTGTTTTTATGAAAAATGACTGCCTAAATCATTTACAAAATAGTTATTCAAATGAATGTGACACTTTCGCACAGATCTGAATCAAGAATCCACATTTGTATCCAAGAGGACTAAACAAATGTCTTATTTTTCTTTCTATCATCCATTACTCAACCAAAAGAATACCATCCACCTAAGCAAGGTACTCATTGCCTCTGCTGTATTCCTTTTCTTTTTTTCAGTGGAGAAGAGAAAGAAATTAAGGAGACTGATATGAGATACAATTAGTGAATACACTGATACCAAGAGAAAAAGCACTCATTAAGAGCTTCTGTGGTTATGCATGAGAGCATTTCAGTTTTTAACAGTCCAACAGTGACTGCAGAAATCTTGTTTTTCTTTTGTTTAAACCACAGAGGAATTAATTTGGGATATCCTTTGTCAGTGGCCACGTTGAAAACAATTAGAACCACCACTGTTACATGCAAAATATTCTTTGGCATTGGGACAATGTTCCAACTTGATTAAGAAGAAAGAGAAAAGGAAATGTATTCCTTTCATGTGCACATGCATGCATGTATGTGTACACACCCACACACACACCTGTTCACAATTTTTCTTTTCTTCCTGTTGATCCTATCTGGTAGCTTACTTAACTTAGAATAATAGGTAGGATGATTCCCTAGACTGAACATGCTCCCCCTTCTCTCCACATTAACAGTGGCAGGTTGTTCTAGTCAAAACAGATTTTGGGTAAAGTCAGCCCTTTTCTAATATTTTTAGTGTTGTAGGTAGGAGGAAGCATTGGAAGGCAGAGGATTGATATGGTTGAGAGCTCTATTACGCTGATATGAGAAACTGTTTTACCTCAACCCAATGTCTGCTTTTTCTGCATCTCATATTTACACTTGAGAATGCTTTCAGTGGTCACAAGGTATTTCTGCTCCAAGCCAACATCTCTAGGCTCTCCTTGCAGACTTGTAGAAAAAAGAGAAAAGTAAACCAAACAAACTAAAAAAAACTCCCCAAACCAAACCAAACAAACCACGAACCTCTTGTCTGAAATACTGGCACTCAGAGTTAGAATCTGGGATCTGAGAGATGGAAGACATCTTAGCACATCATCAGGCCATGCTCCCTCACCCTCAGGCACTTAAGTCAGCCTCCTTAACTCCTTAGCTCTCTAAGGAAACAAGGCGTTGTCATTATTGCTAACGATGAGGTTGAGGAAGCATAGAGGGAAGCAAAAACTCCATAATTCTCTACAAAAACCAATTCAAACACTGCTTGAATGAGGGCTTAGAGTTCTTCAATAAAGTTATGCTTATCACTAATAAAAGGATAAAGAAATCCACAGTTAAAAGGAGTCTAGTAATAGGCAGGGACAACTCTTAGAGAAGTCTTATGAAGAGTCTAACAATGTATTGAGTCAGTATTATCTATTATGTACAGAATGTGATAATGTACTGAGTCTAACAGTAAGAGCAGTGTGGAGGACAGGAAAAGTAGAACCTTCTTTTTTAACTTTATTAACATTTATTGAAAGTAGAACCTTAAAAAAGAGATTTGACTCAAATGTGCTGCCCTTTCCCGTTTCATGCTCAGGCAGATATGAGGTTTTTTTTTTTTTTTTTAACAATAATAATTGATAGATTGCAGACTTTTCCAGTCTCTCTTATAACCAATGGTGATATATGAGGCAATGCAGTACATGCAGAACAGTGGCTCCAAAGTCAGAGGAGTTCAAAGTTCATCTCTCTCTGACACTCCCTGTATGATCCTGGACAAATCCTTTAACCACCTTGAGCCGCAGTTTCCTCAGCCGAAAAATGAGGAGATTGAAAGCAATGGCTTCTGAGATCTCTGGCTGCTCTATCTGTGTTCAGATGCTCCTATGTATAAGAGTTATGGTCTGGTATCTTGTAGAGACAGTCCTTGGTTTCATATAAAGAGGCCCCTTGATTTGTTTTACAGGCCAGTACAAACCTGATAGCATATCACAACTAGCCAAGGACGCTGCTAGGCAGTGTAATGCATAGAGCTCTGGACCTGGAATTCAAATCTGCCTCAGACAGTTACTTGTTGTGCGGCCCAGGGCAAGCTACTTAACCTGTCTACCTCATTTTCTTCCCTTGTAAAATGAGAATAATAATAGAACCTACTTCCCAGGGTTGTTGTAAAGATCAAATGAAATAATACTGGTAAAACACTTAGCATAGTGCCTAGCACATAGTAGACCTTTTGCTATAACTCATATTTGCCTGAACTTTAAACAGGGGAGAAGATAGCACATTAGAGTCATCTCTTTTTAATGTTCTTCTTTCCTTGCTCTCCAATAAAGTTTTCCTTCCTTCTTCTTTCCTTCCTTCCTTCTTTCCTTCCTTTCTTCCTCCCTCCGTCCTTCCCTGCCTTTCTTCCTTCCTTCCTTCCAGCTCAGTGCTTGGAACACACTTAATAAATTCTTAGTAAGTGTTTGTTGGTTGATGAAATCAATTGTGGATACCATAAGCCAATATCTGAAGGATGTTGTTTTGTAGGGTAGGAAATACTGGTATTGGAACTCTCTTAACTAACACCTATATTTATGACTTAGTAGATAACTCCTAGAAATTGCTTGAGGCAGGGAGAGGGCATGTGGACTGCCCAGAATCATGTAGCTCATAAATGTAATAGATTTGAATCCAGGTCTTCCGGATTCCAGGCCCAACCTAATTCATCACTCTATACCACTTCTTTTGGATATCATATTTTAACTCTTTAAAAAGCATTACTACTATATTCATCCATATGTTCTAAGAACCTAGGGGGAAAAAACAAAAAACAAAAGTAACTCATACTTAGTGGGCCATTTACTTAATTTGCTTCAATGCTTCATGGGAGTAAAATAAACTGAGTTAACTTAACATCCATTGGATAACTAGGGTGCAGACCTTTAGGTAAGAACACTCCACCTCCTTTTGAAGTAAGTTGAAGGGACAGACAGGTCTCCCTGAATATGAAGTCAGTTGCAATGATCGCCAGTCAAAGGCAATTGGTCAGTTAAGCCAATTTTGCTCCAGTGGCATATGTCAGTTGAGGAGAGAGCAGTAAGCAACTAAGTAAGGAGTGGAGAGAAGTTGTTCCACCTTCTTTAGAATGTTCTCCAGTTGCTCTTCTTTCTTTTAATACTTTATGATCAGAATTTTCCAAGTGATTTGTGTATAAGGCTGAATAATATCTTGGCTTTTCAAGGGTATTGGGTGGTGACTTCAACCTAGATATGCAGAAGCCCCATCTTCATCCTTAAATCCTTGGTCCCCAGGGGGTAAAAAAAAAGGCAAATGATGCATCTGTGGCACAGGTATCCCTAAGGCAAGGGGTGCACTTAAA